GCCACCCGCACCACGCATTTGCCACTCGCCTCGAAAATCCGATGGCCAGGCCTCTGGCCGTGGAGATATCATCACGACAAAGGCTCAAGGAGATTCCGCAGGGGGCCCATGCGTCCACACAAGCAAAACAACTTAATGCCCTGCAAGCGCTTGCATAAATCTCTCGTTGGAATTCCCAAAAGCCCGACGCAACATCCCCATACCTTCAACCCAGACCCACCTTCTTAACTTGCTATCGCAACAACAAAAACCAACCGCGTGCTTCGCCGAAAAGCAAATAAAACACCCACAACCGCCGGCCCACCACGCTTGGCAAAAGCACAAGCACAAAAAACCCACAACAAGGCCGCCGCATAGAAAAATCCGAGGGTCACCGGAGGGGTCGCCTGGCCGAACGAAAACATTCACCGACCCGCACATTAGCACAGCCCACCAAGAATGAAAGCCAAGACACCACCCACGATGCTCCCGCACTAGGACCCATGGCCGGCGCCCATGGGCAAGTGTGCGCCTACCCCGTATAGAGCAATATGTAGAATTTCGCCTCCGTGGGTGTACACTACTAGTGTCCCAACCGTCACCTCTCTAAACAATTCAATTTTTTGAATTTTGAGCTGAAATTTTGTACATAGGTTAGGAAAAATCCAATCTATTTTCTCGGAAAATTTTCAGAATTTTTCAAGGACGGAAGTATGCTTTTTTATTTTTTGAACATTAAAAATGCGAAAAATCGAAAAAAAAAGTCCGAACGATCCAAAAAGTGTGAGGGAGCACAATAATAACATTTTGGAATTATCGGGAATGTTTTTGTTCGAAAGTGGATGAATTTTCAAGTCGGAAAGCAAAAATTTGACGAAACCGGCCTCGGGCGCCCGCCGCCATCTACCCGGGCAGAAGCCCCTCCTAACCTCCTTCTGCGCACCGGGGACGCCCAACGACCGCAGGACTCCCGTGAGCCGCATGCCCATCATGAGCGCAGGGCCCGCGAGCGCTACCGTAGGGTCCGCGTGCCGCCCACAGGGATCCGCGAGAGCTGGCACGCAGGTGGACGCGAACCGCCTCGCATGGGGCCTCCGCATGCGTACCGCAGGGGACGCCGCCCAGCCCGTACGCGGGTCCGCGAGCGGGCCCGTAGGCGGCACGCGTGCCGCCCCGTAGGCAGGCCCGCGAGCCAAGACGCCCATCGCGCACAAGGGCCTGCGAACCAGCCCCCGCAGGGTCCGCGAGCGGCACGCAGGTGGCATGCCACGCCCGCAGGGGGCCCGGCGAGCCGGCGCGCAGGGTCCGCGCGGCCACCCCGAGGGGGACGCGAGCCACCCCGCAGGGGTCCGCGCGTGCCACCGCACGGGGTCCGGCGGGACGGCGTCGCGGTGGGCATGCGGAGCGCACGCCAGATGCACGCACGCCGCCCGGGCTGGGACGCGAGCGCCCCGCGAGGTCCGAGGCACCAGCCCGCACGGGGACCGCGAGTTAGCCCGAGCGGGGCACGCGTGCCGCGCCCGTGGCGAGGAACCGCGAGCGGCCCGCAGTGCGGGTGGCGAGCCGCCCGCAGGGGGAACATGTGCCGCCCCGCACAAGCTCCGCGAGCGAGGGCGTGCGTGGCATGCGCAGCCACCCCGCAGGTGGGCCTGGCGAGCGGCGCGCAGGGGGATGCGCAGCCGCCCGCAGTGGCCGGGCCACGGGCGCGGCAGTGGTCCGTGTGCCGCCCCACGCGGGGATGCGAGCCAGCCCGACAGGGAGCCCGGCGAGCGGCGCAAGCAGGGGGTCTACGTGCCGCCCGTCATGGGGATGCGAGCCTGCCCCGCAGCAGGGGTCTTCATGCCGACCTGTACGGGTCTCCGCGAGATGGGCGCGCAGTGGGCACGCGAGCCGCCCCGCAGCATGCACGCGTGCCGCCCGCAACTGGGACGTGAGCCACCGCAGGGGTCCGCGTGCCACCGCACGGGGTCCGGCGAGCGGCGCGCGGGGGCACGCGCGCGCCGCCCATTCGGTCCGGCGAGTCGGCGCAGTATGGGTCCGCGAGCGGCTCGGCCAGCGTGGCACGCGAGCCACCCCCGCAGGGGAACACGTGCCGCCCCGGCACAAGGTCCGCGAGCCGGGGCGCGCAGTAACATGCGCAGCCGACCCGCAGGGGCCCAGTGAAGCCGGCGCGCAGGGACCGCGAAGCGGGCGCGCGGCGGGCACGCGAGCCGCCCCGCAGGGGGCCTGGCGAGCCGGCGCCCGTGGGTCCGCGTGCCGCCCCGCCGTGGGGATGTGGAGCCACCCCACGTGGAGCCCAGAAGCCGGCGCGCAGGGGGTCTACGTGTCGCGCGGCAGGGGGATGCGAGCCACCGCAGAGGATCTTCATGCGCACCCCGCACGGGTCCGCGAACATGGGCGCGCAGTGGCACGCGAGCCACCCGCGAAGGTCCGCGAGCGGGGTCTACGTGCTAGCTCGCAGTGGACGCGAGCCGGCCCGCAGAATGCACGCGCTGCCAACCCGCAGCTGGGACGTGAGTCGCCCCGCAGGAGGTCCGCGTGCCGCCCCGCACGGGTCCGCGAGCAGCGCCGCAGGCACGCGCGCCGCCGCGTGGCTGTCCGGCGACGGCCGCGCAGGGCCTCGCGCGCGCCCGCCGCGGGGTCCGTGTGCCGTACCCCGCAGTGGAAGCGTGCCACCGCCGGGGTCCGCGTGCCGCCCCCATTTAGTCCGCGAGCGGCGCGCAGGGGGCTCCGCGTGCCCGCCCGCAGGGGTAGCGGCCACCACGGGGTCCGCACAGCCCCCATTTAGTCTCATGAGCGGCCCCATTAGTCCCAGCGAGCGGTGCGTAGGCTTCATGCGAGCCGCCCACAGGCACGCATGCCGGCCCCCGCAGCACGTCCGCGCGCCGCCCGCAGTGGTCCGCGAGCGCGCCCGCGGACGCGTGCATGCGCCCCGCAAAGGGGACGCGAGCCGCCCCGCACTGGGTCCGGCGAGCAGCGCGAAGGTGGCAGTGCGAGCCGCCCCGCAGGGGGCACGGCGTGCCGACTGCGTGGGTCCGCGAGCGAGCCCGCAGGGTCGGGCCGAGCCGCCCCGCAGCAAGGCACGCGAGCTTCGATTCATCCCGCATCGCCGCTCCGCTTACCAAAAATGGCCCACTTGGAGCTCTCGATTCCATGGCACGGCTCAACGAAGCAGCCCGCACCGTCCTACCTATTTAAAGTTTGAGAATAGGTCGAGGGCGTCGCGCCCCCGATGCCTCTAATCATTGGCTTTACCCGATAGAACTCGCGCCGAGCTCCAGACTATCCCGAGGGAAACTTCGGAGGGAACCAGCCTACTAGACGGTTCGATTAGTCTTTCGCCCCTATACCCAAGTCGACGAACGATTTGCACGTCAGTATCGCCGCGGGCCTCCACTCGTAGCTTCCTCCGGCTTCGCCCCGCTCGTGCATAGTTCACCATCTTTCGGGTCCCGACAGTGCATGCTCTCACTCGAACCCTTCTCGAAGATCAAGGTCGGTCAGCGGTGCAACCCTCAATGGGATCCCGCCAATCGCCTTCCTTGCGCCTTACGGTTTACTCGCCCGTTGACTCGCACACATGTCGACTCCTTGGTCCGTGTTTCAAGACGGACAAATGGGGAGCCCACAGGCCGATGCCCGGAGCACGCCGGTGCCGAGGCACGCCAGGACGGCGCGTGCCGCAGTCCACAATTGCGATGACAGCCGTCTCCGCAAGCGTTTCAAAAGCTCGAGCTTGGGCCGCCACCACAATCCGCATCGGTCCACGCCCCGAGCCGATCGGCGGACCGCCGGCACCGTTCCACATCCGACCGGCGCATCGCCGGCCCCCATCCACTTCCCTCCCGACAATTTCAAGCACTCTTTGACTCTCTTTTCAAAGTCCTTTTCATCTTTCCTCGCGGTACTTGTTTGCTATCTGCCTCTCGCCCGTATTTAGCCTTGGACGGAATTTACCGCCCGATTGGGGCCGCATTCCCAAACAACCCGACTCGCAGACAGCGCCTCGTGGTGCAACAGGGTCCAGCCCACGACGGGCTCTCACCCTCTCCGGCGCCCCTTCCAGGGGACTCGGGCCCGGTCCGTCGCCGAGGACGCTTCTCCGTACTACAATTCAAACGCCACATGCGCTCGATTCTCAAGCCGGGCACCTCCCGGCTCGCTCGCCGTTACTAAGGGAATCCTTGTAAGTTTCTTTTCCTCCGCTTATTGATATGCTTAAACTCAGCCGGTAGTCCCGCCCGACCCGGGGTCGCAGCCGAGAGCATCCTAGCAAAGCCGATGATGCTCGAGGGTCTTGGATATCCCAAAGCGCAACATGGCATGCGCACGACCGCTTTCAAGGGTTCTCTCAACCACCGCTCGTCGTGGCGCCCGTCGCCGAGGACTCAATTTTGGGCCAACCACGAGCGGAAGCACACGCGGAGACCAGCATCCGCCCCCCGCCCTCCTTGGCCGAGAGGGGCTCGGGGGCGACGATGCGTGACACCCGTGTAGACGTGCCCTCGGCCACGAGGCCTCGGGCGCAACTTGCGTTCAAAAACTCGATGGCTCACGGGATTCCGCAATTCACACCAAGTATCGCATTTCGCTACGTTCTTCATCGATGCAAGAGCCAAGATATCCGTTGCCGAGAGTCGTTTAGCTTATCGCAAATTGGAGACGCACCCCCGTAGCACCCTTCAGCCGACGGGGCGCGCTCTTCGTACTCTAGTTCCTTGGCGCTTCTCGCGCCGGGGTTTGTTTTCGAGCCGCGTCGGGTGCAGATGCACCCGTCCGCGGCCCCACGGGACGCAGGGGACAAGAGCCCCCCGCAGCCCCTAGCATGCTCGGCCACAAGTTCGCAGTGTCGTTCGCCGGCAGGTTTCGACAATGATCCTTCCGCAGTTCACCTACGGAAACCTTGTTACGACTTCTCCTTCCTCTAAATGATAAGGTTCAGCGGACTTCTCGTGACGTCACCGGCGGCGAACCGCCCACGTCGCCGCGATCCGAACACTTCACCGGACCATTCAATCGGTAGGAGCGACGGCGGTGTGTACAAAGGGCAGGGACGTAGTCAACGCGAGCCGATGACTCGCGCTTACTAGGAATTCCTCGTCGAAGACCAACAATTGCAATGATCTATCCCCATCACGATGAAATTTCAAAGATTACCCGGCCTATCGGCCAAGGCTATAGACTCGTTGAATACATCAATGTAGCGCGCGTGCGGCCCGAACATCTAAGGGCATCACAGTACCCGTTATTGCCTCAAACTTCCTTGGCCCGGAAGGCCATAGTCCCTCTAAGAAGCCGGCCGCGGAGGGTCACCTCCGCATAGCTAGTTAGCAGGCCGAGGTCTCGTTCGTTAACGGAATTAACCGTACAAATCGCTCCACCAACTAAGAACGGCCATGCACCACCACCCATAGAATCAAGAAAGAGCTCTCAATCTCGCCATAGTCGCGCCATGTGAGAGAAAGTAGAGAGAGATGCTCTCCTCCCCCAATGGAGATCTTTCCTCAAGTTCTGGCCGGCGTCGCCTCCGAGCCTCCCCCTTTGATTTTCTCGTCTTTGTCTCAACCTTCCCTCCCACTCCACCATCCCCGTTCATCTTCTTCCTCCCTCTCGTTTCTCTCTCCCCGCCGCCCTCCATTTCTTTCTCCCGTTTCCCTCTCCCCGCTACTCGTCACTTGGGTCTTTCTCCCCTCCGGCCATGGCCAAGAAGAAGAAGAAGTCGCCCCTAAGCCGAAGACCACTCCTCGCCGGACAGAACCAGTCCTTGCTCTGGTTGCTCCGGCCACCAGCTCCAAATCTGCCACGATTTCAGCTAGCACCCCTCTGGCGGGTCTAAAGCAGCGGCCCTCTCCGACCCTCCGGTCGCCGCCGCCGTGGAAGAGCTTTTCAGCTGATGAAGCTTCAAGCTCGATGAAGAAGGGCCGGATTCCGATGAGGTAGACAGCAGCTTCCGAAAGTTCAGCTGAAAATTTGGTTTTCCCTCCCACCAAGTTGAGTGAAAATTTGGCTTCCCGCCAAAACACTTCTGCTGCTGAAAATTCAACTTTGGGTGGCAATTTAGATTCCCGCCAGATTTTTGCAGCTACTGAAAATTCAAGTTTGGGTGGCCATTTGGTTTCCCGCCAGTAAATTTCCAGCCCCCCCAGCTTCCCGCCCCAGCTTTGGCTAGCTCTTGCGGGCCTCGTTTCTGGCTCATGCTCCAAGCAAAGGGCTTGAGACGTCCGAGCATGTTCTGTCGGGCTCCACCAGGCCTCCGCACCATGACCGCCCCCACTCTCCTCCCCCAGCCCGCGCTGTGTAACTCTCAAGCCCCTCTTCCAAATGGCGTGATCTTTTTGCTTCTAACCGTAATGCCGCTCTATGCCCAAAGCTCACTCATTATAGTGCTATAACTCAAAGCAAAACTTGCTCTTTGCTTGCCGCTGATTCGCAATGCGAAATATGGAAGTCTTGCCTCGATTGGTTATGTTGCCGGCAAGTCTCCGGCTATAAGGCTCTTTCCGGCATTATTGAGACTACATGGCAATGTCAAGCTTCGTTATCGATCCATGACTCCGGCTGGCTTGTGTATAAGTTTGCCTCCGACGAGGCTAAGCTCTCGCCCTGAATGGGGGCCCGTATCTGATTTTCGGCCGGCCGTTATTGCTCCGACCTATGCCCGAATTCTTTGACTTTTCGCTCACCGAAATGGCGCAAGTCCCGGTTTGGGTAAAGCTTCCGAATTTGCCTCTTAACCGCTGGTCCCCTTTATGCCTTTCGAAAGTGGCTAGCCTACCGGGCAAGCCTATCCAAGTGTGACCGGCTAACCGCCTCCATGGAACGGATCTCCTTTGCTAGGGTTTTGGTTGAAGTCAACATCATGGAGGAGCTTCCGAAATTCTTAAGTATTGGGTTGCCGAATGGCTCCTCTCTTCGCCAGCAAGTGGTTTATGAAACAGTCCCGACGCACTGCAAGCACTGCCGAATTCTAGGGCACTCTACGGCTTCTTGCCGGAAGGCGGCTCGTGTGGCCAGCCAGAGTCAGAGCGTCGGCCATGCCGAGAATCTGAGCCTAGCTGACTCTCGGAGGCCTGCTATTGGGGGGCTCAGCCGTGCCTACTAGCCTTGCGGGCGCTCCTTCGGAGGCTGTTCATTTTGACCCTATGGTTTCAGAGGCCGGGGCCGCGGCAGGAGAGTGGACGTTAGTTTCTGGTCGGGCCAAAGCCAGCGCTCGCTCAAATCGGCAAGCATCGTTCTCGCCCGGCTTCGCCCTCTCAGTTGGGGCAGCAATCAGATGAGCGAGTTCAGGGGTCTCCTCTAGGTCCTTCGGCTCGGACAGATAAGGGTAAAGCACCCGCGGTCGCTCCTTCTCAGGTAGAGCTGGCGGATTCTGGGGTTGGTGCAGGCGCGCAGCCAGTAACCGTTGGGGTACAGGACAGGCGCAGCTCTCGGGGGGCTGGCCTCCAGTGCAGGCATGGGCTCAGTGACTCAGAGCCGCCAGTAGTGGCCACAGGCGCTAAGGATGGGTCTCTCGTTGGCTAGCAGCTAGTGCGCAGCCTGTTCTTGGCTGGCGCTGGCGCGCAGCCTGTTCTTCGCTGGCGCTCAGGCCAGCGCGCAGTGCGCGGGGGGCAGCCCTCAGAGAAAGCCTGCTTCGCACGACTCTGACCAGCGCAATTGTTGAGGTAGGCACCACTGATGGGGCTTTGTTGCATAAGGTCAATGCTGGCTTGCTAGACCTTCCGCAGGCTGAAGGGTCTCAGGCGCAAGCTCCAGCGCTAACAGAGCGCCGCAAGACAAAGAAGACGAAACGGAGTGCTAAGGGGGCCTGCCCTCTGCAGCGGCTGTATGATTGTCCTCAGTTGGAATGTTAGGGGCCTCAATTGTCCCCTAAAACAGCATGAGGTTGCTGGCCTCATGTGTTCGAAGAAGTTAGATGTTTGTGCTCTAGTCGAAACCAAGCTCAGCCTTACAAAGCTAGCTCGCTTTCATCGGCTTCGGCTAAGCGGTGGAAGCTTGCCTCTAATGCCTCTGAATCCTCCAAAGCTCGCATTGCCCTCTTTTGGAATCCGGATACAGCTTTGGTCGAGCTCTTGGATTTTTCTCCTCAAGGGTTGCATGTCCATATTCGTAGCCTTGTTCATCAGTCAGCAGCTTCACGCCACCTTTGTTTACGGTCTTCACACGATCTCCAATCGTCGTGAGCTTTGGACGAATCTTCGAGCCTCGGAATCCTACTAGTCAGCTGGATTGTTCTCGGCGACTTTAACTCTATCCTTTCTCCGAAAGATAAGCATAACGGAGTGATGGGGTCCAATTATGAGTCTTCGGATTTTCGCTCTTGTTGTTTGGATCTGGGTCTACGGGACCTAGCGTATACGGGCAGCCAGCTCACTTGGAACAGCGGCAGTGTTTGGACCAAGATTGACAGAGTTCTCGCCAACCCCTCTCGGCCCGTTTCCTCTCCGCCTATTTCAGTCCATTTCAGTCCACCTGGGGCTTTTTCCGACCATGCTCAAGCCTCGGGTTCAGATTGATAGTCCGCCTCCTTTCTCGCCGGAAGCCGTTCAAATTTTTTAACATGTGGGCTCTACACGACAGTTTCCTCCCGATTGTTGCTAGCCACTGGGCCTCGTGGTATTCATGGCACCCCGATGTTCTCTCTCTCGCCGCAAGCTTAAGGCTCTAAAGCGGCCCCTCGCGTGAGCTCAATAAGCTTCACTTCAGCTCATATTTCTGAGCGTGTGGCCCGTGCGCAAGATGATCTTGAGCGGCTTCAGCAAGCCTTACAAGTCCGACAGAGATAATGTCCGCCTTGTTGAGCAAGACAAGCAGCACCGGCGGGCCCTGATCAATCTCAAGTCAGCGGAGAAAATGTTTTACAAGTCGAAGCTCAAATGCCAGCTCCTTGAAGAGAGTGATAGAGGCAGTCGGCTCTTCCACTCCCTCATGACCCAACATCACAAGAAGAACTTTATTGCGGCTATCACGGATGATGAGGGTCAGCTCACGACGTCGCTCTCCGCTGTCGGTGACACCTTTGTTGGCTATTTTCAGCAGGCTTCTTGGTACCGCTCGGGATACCACCCCCTTGATGTCGGGGTTGTTTCTAGTGGGCCTTGCCTTGATTCAGGCTCTCATGCGCTTCTCCTTGCCCCCGTTACTGATGACTTAATCCGCGAGACTCTGTTTGGTATCAACAATGATAAAGCCCCGGCCCGGATGGTTTCTCGTCTCTCTTTTTCAAGACAGCCTCGGGACATAGTGGGGGCCGACTTTTGTGCTGCCATCAAAGATTTTTTCTCCTCCGGCCAGCTGCTTAAACAGGTTAACCACTCAGCTATTGCGCTCATTCCGAAATCAGCTCATGCTTCCTCCCCTCGGACTTTCGGCCAATTTCTTGCTGCAATGTGGTTTACAAGGTCATCTCAAAAATTCTCTCTTCCAGGTTAGCGAGTGTTTTGGTCGACATCATCAGTCCCATGCAAAACGCTTTCTTAGGTGGACGGAAAATGTCGATAACATCCACCTTCTCCAAGAGTTGCTCCGGCACTATGGCCGCAAGCGTGCCTCACCTCGGTGCCTTCTTAAAGTGGACTTCAAGAAGGCTTTTGATTCTGTGCAATGGTCCTTTCTCCGTAATCTTCTTTGGTCGCTTGGCTTCCCGAGTACATTTATCCACTTAATCATGGCTTGTGTGGAATCTCCATCCTACTCAGCTTCGGTGAATGGTTGCTTGTTTGGTTTTTTCCGCGGTAAGAGCGGGATTCGGCAAGGCGACCCACTCTCCCCTTACCTCTTTATAGTGTGCATGGAGTACTTCTCTCGCATGCTTCTGTCTGCCTCGGTTACTCGCTGGTTTCCGTTTTCACCCGCAATGTGAACTTCACCGAATCAGTCACATTGCGTTCGCCGATGATGTTATGCTTCTTTGTCGTGCTGACCGCGCTTCAGTTCAGTGCTTGACACAGCAGATTCACGTGTTCGGCAGGGTTTCAGGTCTGACCATTAATTCGGCCAAGTCCTCAATTTACTTTGGAGGCAT